CCAAAGATCCAATGAGACTACATAGTATAAGAAACATATATAGTATTATAAACATCATGTAGTACATAAATATATTATAAATATTATGAGTTTAGAACCATGAATTTCGGGAAAAAGCATGTTTTGTTATTTCACCAATATCAGTATAACATGCACTTTTCATCAGCCCTAATAGCCCCAATGCAGCAGGAAAAATGATCTAGGCCAAGGGTTGACAAAATCTTCTGTAAAAATTTTTTGGCTTTGCAAGTCCTATAGTCCTTTACAATGACCCAACTCTATCCCCATGGTGTATAAAAGCAGCCATCGAATGAACTTAGCTGTGTTACAACAAAATGTTATTTACTGATAAGTAGATCTGTTTGCTATTATGTAGGCTAAGAGCACTAACAAGGAAATGAAGCAGTAGGAAGCACAAGAAAGGAGAAGCAAGAGAACTACAATATAACTGAGTCAGCATAATTAAATAAAAAACAACATGAATAAAAGAGCACAAGGGGGCTGGGAGCATAGTTCAGCGGGACAGCTTATGCTTATTTGTACGTGTGAAGCCCTTGGTTTGATCCTCAAAAAAAAAAAAAAAAAAAAATAATGGGGCTGGGGGAACAACTGGAAGAGCAGGAAAAAAGGGAGGGAAATACTAGAAAGTATAAATAGCAAGCATAGATAACAGGTCAACTTCAAGATAAAAAGATACAGAGACAAAGGCAGCCAAATGTCCTATAAAGCAGATGAAAAAATGTAGAGGAAAAAAAATCAGAGTATTCAGAATCTGCCTGCACTAGAATTTAAATAAAGTATAAAACATAAATTAATTTTCCAATGATAATCTTATGGGCCGTTCAATTATATGTGTGCTAAAGGGTTTTACAGTTGATAAGAAAAGCTACTTTCATTTTTATTTTTTGGGGGAGGAGTTGGAGAGGACCAGGGATTTGAACCTAGGGCATTAACCACTGAGCCCCAGCCCCAGCAGTATTTTATTTAGAGACAGAGTCTCACTAAATTGCAGAGGGCCTTGCTATGTTGCTGAGGCTGGTTTGTTTTTTGTTTTTTTTCTTTTTCTTTTTTTGGGGGAGGCGGGGCGTTGTAGATGGACACAATACCTTTATTTTATTTTTATGTGGTGCTGGGGATCTGGGGATCAAATCCAGTGCCTCACAAATGCTAGGCAAGCTCTCTACCACTGAGCCACAACCCCGGGCCCGAGGCTGGCTTTGAATTTGTGATCCTCCTGCCTCAGCTTCCCGAGCCACTGGGATTACAGGAGTGCGCCACTGTGCCTGACTGCTACTTTCATTTTGTCCACATGTCAAACTGGTACATAAAAAACATTCAAGAGATCAAAGGAAATTTGTTCATTGTATTATAATGAAGATATAGATTATTTCTAAGCCTTATTCATTTGTATAGATTCATGAGTATGACTTTTTTAATTTCTTGAAATTAATGAAGTTAGCTTCAAGAATTTAAAAGCCATGTAGACCTTACTTACTTAAAAAGAATTCCTCAATAATAAAACCAAAAACATTAAATTCTTTTCTTTTCTTTTTCGGTATCGAGGATTGAACCCAGGGCGCTTTACCCGTGAGCCACATTGCCAGACCTTTTTGGAGACAGGGTCTCATCAGTTGCTGAGGCTGGCAACTTGAAATTCCTCCTGCCTCAGTCACTTGGCCAAGGAAAAGAATCCTGAATAATACAAAGCTGTCTTCTTATGTTGCTTTAGTATTTTTTTTTAACTAGCTTTATTTGAAGGGAAATCTTTTAATTAGCACAGATTAATAAAGCAAACAGCTCAGTTAAAAAAAAAAAAAAAAAAAAAGGTATGGTGGCACATGCCTGTAATCCTAGCAATAAGATCCTGTCTCTAAATACAATACAAAAATAGGTCTAGGGGTGTGGCTCAGTGGTTGAGTGCCCTTGAGTTCAATACCTGGTACCCCGCCCCCCAAAAAAAGAAAAAAAAAAAATCAGACCATGTAATTCTTGTCACAAGAATTAAGCACATCAACTGGAGTTAAAGTGAAGGATTTGGCCAGGCATGGTGGCGCATGTCTGTAATCCCAGAGGCTTGGGAAGCTGAGGCAGGATGAGGCTCGGAAGTTCAAAGTCAGCCTCAGCAAAAGCAAAGTGCTAAGCAACTCAGTGAGACCCCCCTCTAAATAAAATACAATAGGGCTGGGGATGTGGCTCAGTGGTCAAGTGTCCCTGGATTCAATCCCTGGTACAATCAATCAAATAGGACTGGAGATGTGGTTGAGTGCCCAAGTTCAATCCCCAGGAGAGAGAGAGAGAGAGAGAGAGAGAGAGAGAGAGAGAGAGAAGGATTTGTATGCTCACTTGGCCAGATTACTTAAGAATGTCTGTTTCCTCATCTACAACATGTGGATACTAATCATATCCACTTAAGAAATAAGTTGTGATGATTAAATTAAGAAAATACATATAAAGTATTTGACGCAGGGTCTAACACACAGAATACGCACACAAATATTATTGACCTTAAGATTTTGACAGTATTGTTACAGAAGAGAATTGTAAGACAAAGCACAGAAAGGAAATACATTTCCCTCTTCTTTAGGAAGCTACAAATATTTCACTTTTATTTTTCCACACTTTATATTGATGCATTATAGTTGTACATAATGGTAAGCTTAACTATTTTGGGTTTTTAGCACTTATTAACTTCTATTATTTTTTATTTATTATTATTTGTATGAGAGTGGGGGCGGAGGTAGTAGTGAGCACTGAACCACTGAGCTACATCTCAAACCCCCTACCTTTTTTTTTTTTTTTTGGAGACCCTAATTTGAGGTCCTCCTGCCTCAAGCTACCAACTACCTAGAATTACAGGAATGTACCACCATACCCAACTAATTTCTATTAATCCTTAAAAAATTCAATCCATCTGTTTATTTAAGATGTAGAATAAGTTATACTTCCATGTACGTATAATGTCATTCTATTGTCATGTATATCTAAAAATAACTTTTTAAAAATTAAAAAAAAAAGATGTAGAATATTAGTATTGCACAATAGCATCAAAGACTACTGAAGATAATCCTCCTTTCTGAGACAGAAAGGGCACTGAAAGGCAATAAAAAAAAGAACAAAAGTCCAAGACCCACAGAACAGACTAATACTATAATCTCATAAACCTATGGTTCATATCCCCGACTGCACTTCATAATCACATGCCCAACATCCCACCCAAGTTAATAATTAAATTAGAATCTCTATAGGTGAAAACTGGACACTTAAAAACTTTGTGATACAGCATTAACAAGCATTGGTTAAATCCTACCTTGCCTTATTCCAGGAGGCTAGAAATCTAAGTCTCTAATACAAAATAAGGTAAATCTAAAAGTAGAACTAAGTGCCTTCATGTTTTCCATTAATGAACTATCCCATTAATAACTCTAAAAGGGATGTCAACATGCTGATAATATCCAGATTAGAAATTTTATTTTATAGTGAGCAACTTCTGCCAGAGTAGTCCTGAGAACCTGGTTTAAAAGATGTGAAAACTTAAAGACATAACAACACTATTTCAGGATGCTATGTACTAGATGGATACAACTGTACAATTCACTAAACCACCACAGTTTTTAAATAAAATACCTGAAACTATAATACTGATATTCAGTTGAACAATCATTTTATAAAGAAAATAATCATTTTAGCACATAGCAAAATATATCTACCTTTTTAAGAGCATACTGAACACTTTCAAAAGTGTCCCTCTACAGTCACACACAGTAGCGCAAGCCTAATCATCCTGTCTCAAATTAAACTGAAAAAGAACCGGGAGTTGGCACAGTGGCACACACCTGTAACACCAGCAGCTTGGAAGGCTGAGGCAGGAGGATCAAAAGTTCAAAGCCAGCCTCAGTAATTCAGGGAGGCACTAAGCAACTCAGTGAGACCCTGTCTCTAAATAAATACAAAATAGGGCTGGGGATGTGGCTCAGTGGTTAAGTGCCTCCAAGTTCAATTCCCAGTACCAGCCCCCCACAACCCTCCCCAGCCCCCACTAAGGGATGCAAACATTTGAGAAGATTAAAAATGGAACACTGCACTTTCCATCAGCATTTCAAAGCAGTTACAGAGTGCCTACTGTTGCTAGCCTCTGAAAAAGCAAGCTAATAGGTGAGAACCTTGTTAAAAGAAAGGTTTTAACTTCCTGTGCTTTATAGTTTCAGTGTAGAAAAATCAGCTCAACAACAACAACAACAACAACGAAAACAGTGTTTGGTATAGACTGAATCATGAAAACCAAATTGTAATGAATTACAATCTGCTGAAGAATTTTACATTTGACTATTTTAATTAAAGAATTTCAGAACCAAGTCCAAAATTGCTCAAGTGCCATTCACCATGTTAATGAACACTCAGCACTGCAGAGTATGCTCTCCAAATGAGGGGCAGCGACTCCTTCATGTTCCTCCTCAATAAACGCTGAAATAAACTAAATTTTAATAAGTACATAATATCTTAAATTCTTAAAACAGGAATGTTCTATACCTTTTTTCATCTTCATTAAATGATTATTTTCTATCCACAGATCTCTGCCTTTCTTCTATATCCCTATGTTTTGATTTCCTTGCAGATTTATAGGTCTACTTATAAATTAAAGCATCATTGGCCAAATGGAACAAGAATTTTCAACTGAACTGAATATCAGTAGCATTTTTGACTATGAAACTGCAGAAAATACTTTCCAAATTAATTTTTTACAGAACATAAACTCAATATTTGCTACTGAAATACCCACATAATTGTTCTCCAAAATTTTGAGCATTTTTCCAACAAAAATGGATTCAAAGTTCCATTGTTCTTAAAAGACAAAAAAAAAAAAAAAAACCCCAACCCATCTTAGTCATATACTAGACAGCATATATTTTGTTTTGAAAAAAATGTCTATATGATCACTATAGAGATCACTGTTGGAATAAATCTAATAAACCGGGAAGCATATTTAGAAAACCAAAGCCCACCTCTTCTTGCATAACTGGAGTCCATATCTTTAAACTGTACCACAACAAAGTCTGAACACTTGAACAAAATACTCTCCATTATTTCTTCACGTTTTGGCCCCGAACTGGATTCTGTACTTTTCTCATGTGCAGCATCAAGTACCAAATCGCACTAAAATGAAAAACATGAGTAAATATTTAAAACACTTATGGAAAAAATTTGATAGAAGTCCCTTAAGTTCATGAAAGTGCTATTTCTTTTATGTCTTTGGCAAAAATAATTACTTTAAGAAAATAATCATTGGCTGGGGTTGTAGCTCAGTGGTAGAGTGCTTGCCTCATGTGTGTGAGGACCTGGGTTCGATCCTGGGTGATGGAACTGTTTTACTGTCCGACTGCACTGGCAGTTACAGAATTATATGCATTTTGTCGGGCTGAGGGTATAGCTCAGTGGTAGAGCACTTGCCTAGCATGTACAGGCCCACATAAAGATAGATAGATAGATAGATAGATAGATAGATAGATAGATAAAAATAGATTTAAAAAAAAAATAATGCCCTTTTTAAAATATGTGGTCTATTGTATTTTCCATCAAATCAAGTCAGATGTGGTAGCGCACACCTGTAATCACAGCAACTTAGGCTGAGGGATGAGGATGGCAAGTTGGAGGTCAGCCTAGACAATTTAATGAAACTTTGCCTCAAAATAAAAAGGGCTGGGTACATAGCTCAGTGGTATAGCACTTGCCTAGCATGCACAAAGCCATTAGTTCAATCCTTTGAACTGTAGAAAAAAATACCCTTAAATCTATAAGTTGCTCTTTTGAGCACTCTGGTCATTAAAATAATTGGTATTTGAAACTTTACAGCAAAATCAAAATACAATGAGCATGAAAATGTTTTTCTTTTTAAGAACTACCATATGAAGCTAATCATGATAAATACGCTCACTTCGTAACTACAAATTTGCTAATCAGAATTCAATAGACACTGCTCAGGCAGTAATACAAATAATAGTTGATTTACATTAATAAAAAAAGAAATAAATAATTACCTTAGGACTGTATGTTTTAAAAACTCCTTCATAAATACCTCCATTTTTCACTTGTACCTCACATTTGGATCCCTAAAAACAGACAATTAATTTTTTAAAGAAACAGTACTACCATCATCAGGGATATGTGTCTTCATTTTATGTTTCATAATTCATTAGGCTTTATTTAATACTAGCTATTCACTGGCAAACAATAAAAATTTCAGAACATTAACAATACATTGGAATCTCAAAATTCTTCAGAAGACTCAGAGTTTACAGTATAAATTTATAAATATTCAAGTTAAATACATCTGATCCCACCTATATCAGATAAAATAATACACAACAGATAATTAACTACAAATATTATTTTATACAGTGCTAACAAGAACGTGTTTACAGTTACAATAGATTACATAAAGAGTTCTAATGTATTTTTTTCCTAAATCATCTTGATCAAATATGACCCAACAAATGTACTTTGACAATCATTTATCTACATTTTAACTTCATGAAATTACTTTATTCTACACCCAAAGCAATCTATTCCCAACAATCTGATAACTTACAACAACTGATGTAAGTATATGAACCATCCTCATATTTGCATAGATTCCATCAAAAGAAATCTGAAATATTAAAAAACAATATTATAAATTAGTATTTACACTTCCATATACATTAAAGTGAACATTTTGTTACAAATTCTTTAGATTGCTGGTAACTCCTCACATGTATTAATATTTGGTTTACTACAATCTTCTGCTTCCTTAAAGAAGAAGTTAGGGTTTTTAACAGTAAAGTTAGACATAGCAATTAACAACATGATTTATACATGATACCAAAAAACCTCTCTAAAAGAGGAAAAATAAAGTCATGAGGACAGAAGGCAAATCAATGATTGGGAAATGAAGGTTCTCAACAAAGTGGCATGAAAGATTTTGATGGGTGATGGAACCGTTTTACTGTCCAACTGCACTGGCAGTTAGAGAATTATCTGCATTTGTATAGCTCAGTAGTAGAGCACTTGCCTAGCATGTACAGGCCCACAAAAATCAAAAACCAACCAAAAAAAAAAAAAAAACGAAACAAAAACCACTCCTATCTATATTCTAAAAAGGGTAAAATAACTCTTAATAAATAACAAATTAATGGAATGAGGAGAACCCCGGCTACTTTCTCTCTACATAGCTGAATCAATCGATGCAAGTGTTTAAACATCTGGTCAACCACACCACCCCATAATACATAATAACGTAAGTTGTGCTCTCCTGATCCTTATGAAGTCAATCTGTCTAATAAAGGCAGGGTGACTCAAAAATTAGTGATAACTTATTTATCAAACAGAACTTATGCTTTTCAGTTCCATGTAAATTCCACTGGCTTCCTAAAGGTAAGATCAGAAGGCCCTTTCCAAAGGATAAAAATGAAAGGAGTTTAAAAAATATATAGCTCATTAATTCAAAATAAAAAGCTTGAATGTTGGGGGTGGGGTTGTGGTTCAGTGGTAGAAAACTCATCTAGCATGGGTGAGGTACTGTGTTCGATCCTCAGTGCCATATAAAGATAAATATATAAGGCTGAGGTTTGTGGCTCAGCAGTAGAGCGCTCACCTAGTACATGTGAGGCCCTGGGTTCGATCCTCAGTGCTACGCATAAATAAATAAAATAAAGGTATTATGTCTAACTACAACTAAAAATAAATATTTAAAAATTTTTAAAAAAGATAAATAAGATGTGGGTCATTGGGAGGCATGCCCTGGAAGAGTGGTTCTTCCCTGAGTCCCTTTCCCGTCTTCTCTCTGCTTCTCAGCTGCCAGAAATTGAATAACTTTCCTCCCTCATACTTCTACTATGATGCTGTGTTTCACCCCAGGCCCACATCAATTTGGTTATCCAACCAAGGACAAAACCTCTGAAATTATGAGCCAAAATAGACTTATCATTCTCAAAGTTGTTCTTGTTGGGTATTTTGGTGACAGTGACAAAAAGTAGACTAACACACCAAAAAACTTTCCAAACTTCACCCTTGGTGTTCTACTTATCTTTTAGAGATTAATTGCTTCAATTTGCCTTTAGTCACTTACAAAAGAACAAATGAGGGCTGGGGCTGTAGCTCAGTGGCAGAGCGCTTGCCTAGCACATGCGAGGCACTAGGTTCAATCCTCAGCACCACATAAAAATAAATAAAGGTTAAATTCTTTTAAAAAAAATAACAACATTCTTATTATGACAAAATTATCATTCATATGCAATTTTTACACTTTATACACAGTTATCAGCAAAACACAACACATATAACCAATAATTTTGTACTATACTATATTAATCTAGGAAGGTTTCCAACAATAAAGAAAAAAAGCTTTTTGCCTTGGCCTTTAATGTATATTTAGAAGTCATATTTTAGCCAACAATTTTTTACAAACATTAAAGTTACTCACCGTAGACTGAGGCAGTCCTTTGCTATTGTTTCGACCTCTGAAAAGATTAAATATATATTTTTATTAAACTCAAGAGACTGAAAAAACTGAAGTATATCCTCAAATTTAAAATACCTTATAAATTCTACTCAAAGAACAAGCTAATTGGGGAGACAGTTCACCTACTATTTAGTCTAAAAGCCTGCCTAAGGATGGCTCTCTATGCTCTACTTGCCCAGAGATACAAAACAGGCAGTAGGTAAAGAGCACAAAGAGGAAAGAATGTGAACTTTATCAAATCTAATCAACGAAATAAAGATAGCCTATTGGAAGAAAAAACTAACATTAAACCTGAGTTAATACTAATCTTTACTCCAAAAGTAACCAATCACTGCTATAAAGAGCTACTCAGAAGCAATTACAGGAACCATTCCTGATTTAACCAATATATGTAACATATGTTACACTATGTAACCATAATTTCCCCCACCTCTGAAAATGGATGATATTATTAAGTTAAATCATCCAGAGCACTTTTACTTCTAAATAACATGTTGTGATCTGTGCAACCAGTATATCTCCTCCAACTTCCTCCCTTGGAAAATTGGTTGCCAAGGTTTCCAGTAAGGTTAACTCTATTTTCAAGTAAATTTAATTATAAAACAACATTTTTGTCCCTTGGTACCCTGGGAGATTGGTTCTAAGACCCGAGACAGCAAAATCTGAGAATGCTAAAGTCCCTTAGGTGAAAAGGTGTAGTATTTGCATAGAACCTACACATCTTTAGATTACTTAAAATACCAAATACAATGTAAATGTCATTAAATAGTAGTTATACTGTATTGTTTAAGACAAGAAAAAACTTTTTTACATATTAAATACAGATGGCAGTTTTTTTCCTAAAATATTTTCGATACACCATTATTTGAATCAACAAATGTGGAACTCAAAGACACAGATATGACTGTTACAACCTAAAGCTTATTTTAATGGAAAAGATTAGGATTATTAGAAATAATTTTTAAAAATTACTTTAAAAATTAGTAAAATGAAATGTTACATAATTTATAAACTCTAGTCACTCTGGATCAAATAGAACTGAAATCCCATTTTAATAAAATAATCACAACACTCAAAATTTAAAACATTCAGGGCCCAGAACAATTTAGGTCCAAAAAGTCTAGCAATATGACTGGTGCCATTCCCAGTATAGTAACACAGATCTTAACTCTGACACCAGTTCTGGCTTGGTCTCCAACTCTTACTACCTTGCTCAGTTTCTTCACCTAGAAAATAATAGTCAAGACCAAATGATCTAAGATTCCTTTTATTTTATTTATTTTTTTAAGAGAGAGAGAGAGAGAGAGAGAGAATTTTTTTAATATTTATTTTTTTTTTAGTTTTCGGCGGACACAACATTTTTGTTTGTATGTGGTGCTGAGGATCAAACCCGGACCGCACGTATGCCAGGCGAGCGAGCTACCACTTGAGCCTCATCCCAAGCCCTTTTATTTTTTTTAATATTTATTTTTTTAGTTATAATTGGACACAAACCTTTATTTTACTTATTTAATTTTTATGTGGTGCTAAGGATTGAACCCAGGGCCTCATACATGCTGGGCGAGCACTCTGCGGCTGAGCCACAACCCCAGCCCAATTCCTTTCACTTCTAACATTGTGATAACTCTTTGCCTCTTGCAAGTACAAACGTAGAAATTCTTAAAACCTAAGGAGTATAACTAATAATTTATCATTTGTAGAACTTCCTATGAACTAGATACTATGGGAAGCCCAGAGATACAAAACAGGCAATGGATCATGGAAGAGCACAAAGAGGAAAGAATGTGAACTTTATCAAAATCTAATCAAATTTGATTAAATCTAAATTTGATTCCACATGTGTTTGTCTAATTTACCACCTCTGTTTTATAGTAAACTATAAAGCAGTTAAATATCTCAACCAAATCCATTCAGTTCTTGAGCAGTAGAGCTAATACTTAAAATTATATTCCCAGGCTTTCCATTTCTAGGTTATGCTGTCTCCCTGAAATTAAGCCTAACTAAAGTTGTATACTTTTTCAAATATCATTTGAATTTACTGAGTGTTTTCTCTCCTATTTACTTGTAGTACATACCCGAAAAGCTTAAAATGGCTAAATTTTGCTTATTAGAAGGATTATCTTATCCTAGTAGTTGCTGAGAGCCAGTTACAAAATCTTGAACAAATGCCATGAAGTGTCAAAATGTCCTTAAACTCATGTAGCCTCCCCTACAAAGAGACTAAACATAATATTTATTTATAGAACTCACATTATCTTTTTAATTGATTACACAGTTACATCTTTGACTAATAAAGAGCAATTGTTTGACAAACCAGTTTACTTAGTAGAACAAATAGTTCACTGAGGAAAACAATAAAAGACTTACAGAGGCATAAAGTGGCACAGGGTACAGAAACCACTGATTGCCACTGACCTTCACTGATCCACAGAGTCTGACAGACACCCAGGAGGTATGTTACCATATCAAAGCAACATTCCCTGAAACTGTTCCCCCCACCCACCCTCTGGTTTTGGGTCCACTCAGATGTTTTTACTTTTGATTTTCTTCAACAGTATTATTTCTGGCCAAGAAAACTACTATTTTACATACGAGTTGAATATCCATTATCTGAAATACTGTGACCAGTAGTGTTTCCAATTCCAGATTTTTTCAGGTACTGGAATATTTGCATATTTAAGGAAATGTCATGAGAAAGGGCCCCAAGTTTAGATATTCATTTACAGTTTCATATATCTTTTCTTTTTTTTTTAAACTGGGATTGAGTCCACGGTTTTACTCATGCTAGGTAAGCACTCTACCACTGAGTTCTACCTCCCCAGCCCTTTCTAAAATTTTATTCTGAGACAGGGTCTCACCAAGTTGGCAAGGCTGACTTGGAACTACCGATCCTCCTGCCTCACTCCAACTCCCAAGTAGTGGGAATTATAGCTGTGGTCCATCACACCCAGCTCCATACAACTTACCCACATGGGCTGAAGATAATTTTATACAATATTTTCAGTGCACCTGCATTTTGACTGCAATCCATCACATGAAGTCAGGTATGGAATTATCCACTCATAACACCATGGCAGAACCTTAAAAGTTTCAGATCTTACAGAATGTTGGATTTCACATTTTCTGATAAGGATGCTCAACCTGCAACAAATATTAAATCTCAAAATAGGTCAAGAGCTAGGGTTGTGGCTCAGTGGTAGAGCACTTGCCTAGCAAGTATGAGGCACCATACTTAAAAATAAACAAAGACATTGTGTTCATCTACAACTTAAAAAAAAAAAAAAAAAAAGGTCAAGATCACATTCTAGTCCTAAAAATGATTGGATAGATCAGGTATCACAAAACACCACTAACCAGGACTCTGTTCTTTCAGTAGTTATTGAATATAACATTTAAGTGATTCAAAATGCCTACCAAATAAATATAAAGAAATTTAGGGGCCGGGATGTAGCTCAGTGGTAAAACACTTGTCTAGCATGTATGAGACCCTAAATTTGATACCTAGCATGAAAAACAAGAAAACCCAGGTATAGTGGCACAAATCTATAATCCCAGTGACCTGGAAGGCTGAAGTAGGAGCAATCGCAAATTTACAACTTAGCAAGACCCTGTCTCAAAATTAAATTAAAAAGCCGGGGGTGGGGGTGGGGGTTGTGGCTCAGTGGTAGAGCGCTTGCCTAGCATGTGTGAGGCCCTGGGTTGGATCCTCAGCACCACATAAAAATAAAAATAAAATAGATGTATTGTGTCCAACTACAAATAAAAAAATAAATATTAAAATTAAAAAGCTGGGCATGGTGGCACACATCTGTAATCCCAGCAGCTTGGGAGGCTGAGATGGGAAGATCAAAGCTAGCCTCTGCAACTTAATGAGGCCCTAAGTAACTCAAAGTTAAGACCCTGTCTCTATAAAGAAAATACAGAAAAGGGCTGAGGGTGTGGCTTAGTGGTTAATCGCTCCTGGATTCACTCCCTAGTACAATAAATAAATATAAATAAAAAAAACTGGGGGTAAAACTCAGTTGTATAGTGCCCCTAGGTTCAATCCCCAATACCAAAATAATAATAATAATAATAAATTTAAAAACAGAAAGAGAAAGGAATTTACACAAAAAATAATTTATTTTGCTTGAAAATAACACAAAAGGGGTGAAGTGGATGGGTAATAAATTAAGCAAAACCAGCACATCTTGGTAAGTGCTGAAGTTGGGTAACAAGTATGCAAGGGATCATCATACCATTCTACATTTGTACAACCTCCCTTAAGAAAAAGAAAAAAGAAATGCCTTCTGATGAAATGCAATATGCATATGAGGCTGGATCTCACCAAGCTTACTGATTTATCAGTTCACAGGAAACATGAGAACAAAGAATAGATCAATTAATACTATGAGGTTATACAATAGTTGAATCCACAATGTGGTAAATCCCACATTAAAAAAATGATGCAGTTCCTATAACAAATGTTTAGAGAAGAAAAAACATGTAGAGGAAAGTATATCTATAAAGACACATAATTAGGGCTATAGCCCAGTAGTTAGCGCTCACCTAACACATAAGGCCCTGGGTTCAATCCCCACCATGGCAGAGTAGATGAAAAAAATGGAAGTGGAAGAAAGGAGTCTTTTCAAATCAAACAGTGAATTAAGCTGAATCTCACTTTATACCATTATACAATAATTAACTCCAAATGGATAAAAGATCTGAATGTAAATTAAAACTATAATTTTTTAGGAAGAAACTGGGAAAATCTTCATGACCTTAAATTTGACATTATTTCTTAACTGTAACACCAAAAAGCACTGGAATCATAAGGAAAAAAATAGATGCATGGTACGTCACAAAAATTACGAACTTTTAAGCTAGAAACAGTGGTGCTCGCCTGTAGTTCCAGCTATTCAGGAAGCTGAGGCAGGAGGATTATTTAAGTACAGGAATATGGTGCCAGCCTGGGTAACATACTGAGACTAGGTCTCTTAAAAAAACCTTAAAACTTGG